TAAAATGTGCTGCTTTTGCAGGTGAAGCTGTGTGATTTTGGCTTTGCACGCATCATTGGTGAGAAGTCTTTCCGGCGCTCCGTGGTGGGCACCCCTGCGTACCTCGCCCCTGAAGTGCTCAGGAGCAAGGGCTACAACCGCTCCCTAGACATGTGGTCAGTAGGAGTTATTGTCTATGTGAGCCTCAGTGGCACATTCCCATTTAATGAAGATGAGGATATCAATGATCAGATTCAAAATGCAGCATTTATGTACCCACCAAATCCTTGGAAGGAAATTTCTAGTGAAGGTAAAGAAATTAATTTTCTCTATTAGAATGTTTGTGTATGTAGGTAACGCTTGCAAATGCTTAAACGTCAAAGTTCATTTAGGAAGGAGTGTGAAAATTATTGATAGCTTGAGTTTAGTATACTATGTCAAAGTAGATAAATATGAGGTAAATGTATTTGTGAAAGATAATTGTGGAATATAATGCTTTAGATAATTTTCAGGGCAGGAGAGTCAGGAGATTGAGCAAGAAATGTGAATTTCATGCATGATGAATGGGATGAGTAATCTGACACTTCCCAAAAGTCCCAAAGGAGTTAATTTATGTGTGGGTATTTGCTGAATGCTGGTATATTTTATCTGAACTATAATCACAGAAATGGTTCAAAGTTGAATCTGGAATTTTAGTTTGTACACTAGGAAGTACGGATTTAAGTGTCAGGTCTGAACAACCTAGAAGCTTACAAAGCTGGTTTCTAGAGCTCTTCAGTGCCAGCTTTGGTTATATGTTGTTACCATGTTTGGTTAATACATTCACAGATAGATGTGGAAGGATGTATACAAAAGTATATAATAGTGGAAGTACCTATATCATTGTGGAACACAGGATTATGCTTAAGCTTTTTAGGCATATCTGAAAATCACTAAAATCAGTAGGGAAAAAGATTAATGGATAACACAGTAAAGCTTTTAGTGTTTCCATCAAAAGTAGGGGGAATTTATCCCATATCTATATTGTAGCCACATTTAACATAAGCAAAGCTAAATATAAAATTCAAAAGCTTGGTTAAATTTAAAGGAATTCAGTATATGATACAGTCATACATAAAAAAAAAATTCTACTGCAGCATGTGAATGATGATAGAGGTAATTAGTATTTAAACAATATAATTTGTGTTCTTCTTTGGCAGCCATTGATTTAATAAACAATTTGCTACAAGTGAAGATGAGAAAACGTTTCAGTGTTGACAAATCCCTTAGTCACCCATGGTTACAGGTAAGCCCATCTGCCGTTTTCACTATGTTTATAATGGGTGAATAATTTCTTTGGCTGAAATCCTTCAGAGGCTTGTGAAAACTGCAAGTTGTCACATTCTGTTAACAAGGCTTGAGCATTTCTGGTTTTAGCTTTACATTTGATGTGCTCCAGCATTCTGACCATCTATGAATGCCGTCTTTCCTCAAGGGAAATTTGTCTTCCTGTCTCTCCCACCTTTCCCTTTCTGTCTGGCAACATGGTGGGCAGTGCATGGAGCCCTGTGAAATCAGCATGGGGACAAACATTGTTTGTTCAGTGCTGAAGTGGACACACAGTGTGTGCTCTAACTTGTAGTCCCCTTAGAGATTTGTTTGGAATGTAGTTTATCTGCTGCTTTCACAACCTTAGATACTAGCCTATTTGATTTTGAACTATTCTTTGTGGACAATGTTGGAGCTTTTTTTTTTTAACACATCTTGTTGGTTGTGTTGTGTGGCTATTTACACTAAAAATGGACACAAACTGCAAAATTTATCTGTGGGAATGTACTACTGCTGTTTCTTAAAACTGCTTCCTTAAATCTTTTACTCCTTAGGATTATCAGACTTGGCTTGACCTCAGAGAATTTGAAACACGCATTGGAGAGCGTTACATTACCCACGAGAGCGACGACGCACGCTGGAAAGAACACGCTTACGAACACAACCTCGAGTACCCCCAGCACTTCATTATGGCTCCCAACCCAGATGACATGGAAGAAGATCCTTGATTTGTTCATTGTGCTAAATCGCAGCAAAGAAGGATACTCCAGGCAGAAACTGAAGAAAGTGGAACAGCTGTTGCTGTTTCCAAATGCTGTACACATAGTTTGGTGTGTAAAGCCCCAGAGGATCCTGCATTGCCATGGGAATAGACTGTTGTCTGAAAACTTTTCTCCATCCCTGACTTTAACTCTGAGAAGTTACTAGACAGTGGGATACAAAGCCCTGTTGGGTTACATTTCACCATGCTGGGTGGCTACAAAGCCATTGCTGAGGTGCAGTGTGTACAGACTGAATGGTTTGTGTTTTTCAAAGGTTTTTGTTTTTTCATAGCCTACGCAGTAAGAGTTTTGTAATAGTTTTCTAATCCCTATTTACTAGGCCATAGAGGACTGTTTTCTGTTACTTAGATACATCTCCTGTTTCTCAAACTGTGGATGGTGAAGAGACTGTATAAAGAAATCAGTACAGAATACCTTGGCTAAAGCAAAATGTGGTGGTTTAGTTGAATACAGCTTCATAGATGAAGGAATAATTTGCTGCTGTTTAGACAGTTAAATATGTGTGTCTTGGCCCTAATTGAACTTTTAACAGATAGCAACAAGAAAAAAAAATGGAAAACCCCATAACTTCTTACATTCCTCTTGAAATGCTGGCTGAGAGTCTAAGGAGATGACAGTCAAAGCTGTGCTAGGCTTTTATTTTCTCTGTTAAAAAAAGCAATAAGCCACAACAGTGCGCTGCTGTGCAACGCTGGCATGCCATTGATACACACCAAAGGCATTTTGCCTTAAAACTACACAAATAATGCAGAGAGCACACAAGACTTGATGTAGCATATCCTTTCACTCTGGAAGACCAGCTTCTAGCAGAAGGTTGTGGAAAAATAGGGAAAAATACATGCAGCTTTCTTCTGTCATTTTGAGTAATAAGATTTTAAAATTTTTCTAATATTTTTCTAATTTTTTAAGGTTCCCTGGACTTACATCAGGAGTAGTTTGTAGCCTGCTAGCTTGTTATCTTAAAACTCTGCTCAAAACCTAGAAGTAACAGTCGATACCACATCAGCTGTTGCTTCTGCCAGGGCAGCTGGATTGTAGGAGAAAGGACTTTGCCTTCCACCTTAACCTGCAGCCCCTCCCATCCTCTTTTTTACTGTGCTCAGAACTGTTTGAGCTGAATGAAGAGTTCAAAAGCAACTCCTAACTCAGTTTTTACTGTGCACATGCCTGACCTGAAGGATTCCCAACCACTAATTTGACTTGTGGCACAGTAGAGGGGAAACAGCAGTGTTCTTTGGAAATTATTCCCTTGGACAGTTTTAGTAAATGGTATTTCAATGAAGTTTGAGGTCATAATGCTAAGTGCAAATGGAAGAAGGTTTTTTGGTCTTATTTTAAAAAAATAAAAAGGGTGAAATCCTTTTTTTGTGGGATAACAGTGTTGTGCTCCTGGAGGATGCTGGATGGTTCTATGCATCCCTGATGTGCCAAGCTACTTAACTGGAGCTTAGTTGGAAATACTTCTAAAATACTCATACAGACTTGAACTGCAAAGGCAGTGAGAGGCTTTAGGGAATCTCCTCTCTCCTACAAAGATTTTTCTTTTTTTGTTTGTGTGTAGATAAATATTTTTTTCTACTGTTTTTATTCAGGTAAGGAAACAGGTGAGCAGATTTATAAGTTGTTAGATGTTAATGTTAACATGGTTATTTCAGAGCTGGCAGCTGCTTGCACTAGCAGTGACCTGGGATAAGTTGTTAGATAAACCTAAAATATTACATGGTTATTTCAGAGCTGGCAGCTGCTTGCACTAGCAGTGACCTGGCAGTGGCCAGTGGCAGCTGCAGAAGGATGTGCCCACAGGTAGGTCTGGGTTTTTAACTCACTCTCTCTTTTCCCACTGCCCTTTATCTATCTGCCACTGCATTTCGTAGGTGTCTGTGTTGGCAAAGGCTGAGCTCTGGATTCTTAACCCTGTTTAGAGAGGGTTTCAGGACTGATTGTTAAAAGAGGCACTGCTTTTCATCTCTGCAACCAGAGCAATCACCTCTGACATTGGTAGTTTGGTATTTGCCTGCTCTTGGCAAGGAAAGCCATGCAACTTCCAGTGCTCAAGTGGCCAAATTTCAGTGAAGCCATTGCTATATTCCATCCTAATTGTAATATGTAGATACTGTTTGGTTTTAAACTTCGGATTTTTTTACTTGAGCTGTTACTTCAGGTTTACCTGTGTGGGTTTGTTGTTTGTGTTGTTGTAAGGGAGGAAATAAAGCAGCTCAGTCACTTGAAAAAGCACAACAGGAATAGAGGAAGGAGAGGACAATAATGAAGTAGAAGGCCTGGCTTTTGTCTCTCCCCATGAAGTCTGCTCTGCTTCAAAATATTATATGAGCTATTTATTCTGCAAGTTGTATTAAAATAAAAATGCTGTTGGCCTTTGAAGAGATTGCCTGATCATATGCAGACTTATGGAGCCAGACAAGAGAAGCCACAAGCAGCTAGTAGTCAAGAAACCAAAAAAATCAGGCTTACATTATGAGTAAAATTCCTAGAGTAGTAAAAATAGCTGAGTTTTTTATTCCCTTTTTTCTACCTTTGCTGCAGACTTTTACAGCAGTAGGTTTCAGTGTTTAATACCCATACCCCTAGATGAATTAAGTTGCGTTCATTCAAGCAATAGTGCTATGGTGATGCTAGAAAAAAGCTCATGTAAAATTTATAGCCTCAAAATGACACTGTCAAGTACTTTTATATTTTTATACACCCCATTGTTTGTAAATATCCTCTGGTAAGCTTGAAAATAAAATTTATTTCCCTATCAGACTCTTTCTTTTTATTTACATGAATTATCTCTCCTATCAAATGTTATTAGGAGTAAATGGTTCTATACTTTCTTGTTTGTGGATTTATTAAATATGTCATTCAGCCAGCAGGAACTCCTTTTACATTCATCCTGTCACTATTCTCTTTATAGAAATATCTTCAGTGATGTCAAGGCATCTTGATTTTATTCAAGTACCAAAGCTTGAATACATTTTAAGTATCCTTAGTGCATGTTTGTTACTGACAAGTTTTGATTCCACTAGTAAATATTTCACTCTGATCTCTCAGACCCCCAAACCATTGTCCATTCTCTGCTCTGTGTGCTGGTTTCTGTATTTGCAGTGTTTTATTTCCACTCATACTGCTTTGAGTAGGTCGGTCCAGAGGTTTGGCGTGCTGCAGGCTTATTCGGAAACAGCCATCACACATTTTGTGATAGTATTTGAAATTACTTTAGTAACAGTTCATTAAATCCAGCAACAGGTGGGAGGGGAGACTTTGATTCTGGCTTATCTTTCTTGTCAGCATGTACAAGTCTGTGGTGAGGCAGCAGGGCAAAAAAATTAAAACAGTCCCCCATCTTCTCAGGATTCATCAGCATATCATAGCTGTGAAGTAACTGCTCACGAGTTGCTGTGTCACCTGAATTCTGCAAGAGTACCTGGAAAAAAAAATGCAGGTTAGAGCCCCTCCTGCTTTCCTGCACAGCTGCAATCCCTTCTTGCATCCTTTTCACTTAACGGTGCTGTGATGGTTGGCAGAACTGGTGAGATCACTGATGGTGATCCACAGCCCATACACCGATACACGTTTTGCATTAAATGCTCATAAATATAATATGATCAATTTATTTTCAGGGATCTGGAGCAACTTGCATCTAGCACAAGCAACTCTCTGATCTCACACCTACATTCTATTTTGAACAACTTCATTTAAAAACCAAAGATTTTTACTAAAGCTCTTGTACTGCTTAAGAGTATTGCCTGGGGATTGAGAGAGCTCTACAGCTGCGAACACTTTGTACCTGCAGTCGGAGGTCAATGCCCATGTTCTTTAAAAACTCCCTCTGTTTTATAGGGCCTAATGTAGCTGTTTTCCCCTGTGCCATCTTTCGAAGGTAGCTGAAATCAACATCTGCTGTCAGGTCTGCTGTGCCTGGAGCACTCAGCACATCGTGAAGTTTGTGATTCCGGAAACCCTGAAAATGAAATTGGAAGATTACACTCAGCTGTAGTCCAACCATTGTAGCTGGGGCCAGCAAAAATTAAGCTGCGCCTTTGAGTGGTGACAACAGCAAATTATACATGGAAAATTTGAGATAAACATAGCAAGAACTCAGATTACCTGCTCCATCTGACAGAAACCCTGCTGGGTACTAATTAAACAGGAATTACTCAGTTTTATGCAATTTTTACTATTATGCCCACCTGTGAACTTTATCTCACAAGAACCTAAGGATCAAAGATAACAGAGTCTTTTGGTTTATGCCTTACCCGGAAGGTGTCAGTTTTGGTTCCGTCGTGGCCGTAATCTGCAACCAGAGCAGCCCCACCATCCTTCTCTATCCGAGAGGCCAGCCGCTGCACAATGACACCGGCCTCAGGACACACTTCCACGTGGTCTCTTGTTTCTTCTGGCTAGTGCAGAGTTCAAAGACCACAACACCTGTATTAGCAGACGAGCACAAGGCAAGTACCCCTCACACTTGGTGTCTTGGGGCTGTTGCTCTGCTGGGACATGCAGGTACAGGAGGTGCATTCCAGTCTACCTACACTGGCTTGAGCTAGTTTTTGCTATCACTCATTCTCAATTAGTATTTTCTGAGTGCTGGATTTCAATCCTCTCTTCAAAAACCTGTAGTCAAATGCTAATTTTTCTACCAAGAATATCTGTATCAGGTGAAACTTCCTTACTTAAGGAAAATAGTGCTTCAGCTGTGCACACGCTTCTGAGAGGCGTTGCTCTGTCAAACTTTGTAGCTCTATTTAATCTCCAGTACTTCATTTTGTAGCTTTGAGTATCCAGTGCACTTCAGGAAGAAACCCCAGCCACTTTCCATTGAAGGTCAGCCTGGCACTGAGCAGGCAGCTGCCCTGAGTACCCTGCAGCAGGCTGAGAGCCTGGCTGGGGCAGGGCCACTCTTGACATGGTGATGCCACACACACACAGTGGCGAACTGCCCGTCACTTGCTGCCTCGGCTTGCTGAGACATTTTGTGTTCCAGCTCCTATTCTGCAAAGTTTGATACACGTGATAATTTTTGTGCTGTGGTTTCACAGCATACAAGGCTAAATGCTTTGAAATTTTAAGCTCTATTCATTTACAGACTGAGAGCCCTCTTCTTGCTGTCACAGTAACTGAGAAGCACTAAATGTACTTGAAAGAGTCAATAAAGGATGAGCCCGGTAGGCATAACCTCACCTGAATAAAATTTTGTGTTGCAGGGGTCCTGGATGGTGACAGGACAAACCGCAGCTTGTCAGGAACTTCTGGATCAATGTCAACCAACACCTCACGCCAGCCTTTCTCCGTTCGCTGTTCAACGAGCCCAAGGTACTCATGTTACACTCAACAGGCACCACAGCACCTTGTTCAATTGAACTAATATGTCAAGCCTTTTCACAAAGGTTTTAGGAACAATACATTATTAACAAAGACTATTCATTCTTATTTAATTCCAGTAACTGCCTTAGAAAAAGCTTGTGGTGGACTCTCATCTGCAGAGCCAACAAATACAGGTTTAATTATACTTAAAGGGGATGAATGATGCTCTGAAGAAACATGCTGCCTCTTCTATTGACAGTGCAACGTTTAACTTATGAAAATTAAAGATTTCATTCTACTGGTAATTTTTATAAATTAGCTACTTCTGAATCATATCTAGCCTCTATTTTGCTGCTCTCATTACTATTCAAGTGAAAGCCCTTCAGTCTTTTGTTAGTAATATTACAGAAAATAATGTGGAAATTAAAGCTGTGTTTATGTAGCACAAGGAATAAAAAACTCCAAAACCTTGAGTTATTTTAGCAGAAAGAAATCCTTAGCTTTCCTCAAGTTTTTCCATTCAAAAATAATTACTAATTTTACATTTTTCAGCTGAATTAAGCCTTATATTTGTCCAATGCAGTTAGAATTATTTCATCACCGGAGACACGGCATGTGACTAGCTTGGCACCTTAATTCAGCTCTTTCTCAAAGAGAAAAAGTGTTTAAGCAGATGGTCACAATTAAAATAATAATGCTTGCTATACCTGAAACTTATGTATTGGCAGGGCATCAAAGAACTCATGTGCTAGGTAAAAGCTGTAACCTGTGGGGAGGTTAAAAAGAACTCCATTAAATGATTAACATTTCCAGAGCAGTTCCCAGTTTAAAATATTTTAATGATTTTTAATGAATTAAGCTAGTTAATGTGGCTGTGGAAAAAATATAATTACTTCCAGCTTGCACACATTTAAGATGCCATTTCTACAGCTAGCTCTAGCTTCCAGGCAATGAATTTTAGATCACTATCTTGTGAAAGGAGATTCAGGTAAAGCCAGTAAAGGGTTTTTTTCCCCCCCATGAAAATAAAAAAGTCAAATATAGGAAATTGGGTAGCTATCTCCAAATGAAGGAAGACAGAGTAGGTAGCAGTGATGAAAATGAACCAAGATCCTGCCTCAGACTCATACAAGTACAAATATGTATACAACTACTTTTCTGTCCAGTGTGAAGGCTAGCAGGGAGCCCTCTGCTGTCAAAAGCTGTCAGTGAAGGAAAGGCACCATCCCTTTAACGAGGCATTCAAGCTCCTTACCTGGTGGCACATCTTGAATGTCTCTGTACCAAAAAATGGGAATTCCAGTCTTGCTAATGCCTTTCATGTAAGCAGGCTCGTCCTCAGGGCTTGGCTGCACCTTCCCTCCTGTCAGCATCACTGCTTGGATCTCGCTGAGTTTGGGGCTCACTTCTACCAGATGAACAGAGACATCACATTTACTAAGAACAGAGGCGAGCTGCTTGAAGACCTAAAAAGGCAGATGAATTCTATTAGGTGCAGTCTTGTGCAGTGTACATTAAAGGTTTAAGTATTAACCTTTCTTCTCACTATTTACTATTCACTATTAACTATTCAAGGTAAGAGATTTTAGTTGGCTTTCACTAACAAAACAATCTCGGTGAGAGAGACTGCATTTTGCTCCTTCAGTAGGAAGTGTGAGTTTCTTCATAAATCTTAATAAAAGCTTCTACACTTCAAAAAAAGTTGGCTTTACATTACAGGGCTGTAAGGACAACAACATGAAATGCTAATTTGGAAGAGCAGGAGCAGCTCCTCTAAGATCTGTAGAAGGTCTAGCATTAGAAGACAAACGGATCAGTTTTCCCTGCCACCTTGAAGAAGTGTTTGATATTCCACATTTCACTACTTTTATTAACATATGTAAATAGAATAAAAGTTCTTATGTGGTGCTAAGTCCCATTAGCTATTTGTTTATGAATCAGCAGCATTTTAATAAAGACAACCATGCAGGCATGACTGAACACAAAGCATTAACTCAAAAGAAATAAGGCCCTGAAATGCCCAAAGGAATTAACACAGATTTCATTCTGTGTTACTGTGCTCCCCTGTTCTGTTCCTTGCACTAAGGCCTCCATCTCAATTACACATAGCAACACCTTCCTAGATGGTTTTCAGTTTGGATAACGTTTCCCTGCACAGAAATAATTTACAATGGAGTATTCCTGCCCTCCCCTTCTATCCAGTGGTGTTTGGAAGGTCACAGGTGTGTCCGTGCAGTGTGCTGGCCCCTGGTCTGCTTCTATCTGAGAGCCCTGGTCCCAGAAACTCATCCATTCTAATCAGAGTCTGAGCTGCCAGCCTGACTGAAGAGAGCTGGCTCCCAGGGAAGGGTAAACCCTGACAGCAAATCATCTTCCCTGTAGCTTATGGAACACAGGCAGAAACACAGCTCACAGGTGGCTTTCACCTACCCGCAGGATGTCCTCGGTGAGGGTGCCCCGCCCTGGGCCCAGCTCCACCAGCTGGAAGGTGGTCGGTTTGCCCATGGCCATCCATTCACTAATGTACCATATTCCTATTAACTGGCAGTGAGAAACAACACACAGGGTTACAGAAGTAACTGCAGCACTCGTGGAAAATCACGCCTGCCTTTTGTCTGATAGTAACTGAAATAACACGGCAACATTCTGTCTCAATATTTTAAAGTTAAGAAGAATTATGATACATAAATCACATTATTGTCTTTAAATATTAACATTGGTCATTGATTTCTGTCTGCTTCAGGAGCAGAAGCAACTCTCCATCAGTAAATGTGAGGAGTCTGTTCTGGCTGGAGCAGGAACTTTCACCTAAATGCAGGTCACTGCCCAGGTGCCTTTGGAGAAGTGTTCTTCCTGACAATGCATTTACCAAAGCATCCCTGAGAACAGGATTTAGCCAATCTTCACTTCTGGAAACAATACACAAACCAGAGTGAGCCAGTCCAAACTCTGGAGATTATTTTTGAGGAGCATTTTCACACTGGAAAATCACCATAACTCTTTTTATTTATAAGCAAGTTCTGTATGAAAATAAACAATTACTAAGTACAGATGGTGTTTCAGACAATGGACTTTTAGAAAAACAAAACCCCCTTTCCTCCCTCAAAACTAATTTTTCTCTTGGGAAGTAACTTGAACCTTATGATTGCTACTCCAGTATTTTGACATTGATAAGGTATCTGAACACTGGCTTGGAAATCACTTGGGATGGAAATAGGAAGGGACCACACTGGGCCATCTCGACCACCCTCCCTGTTCAACTATGTCATCCTAGAGTACATGGCACAGGATTGTGTACAGATGGTTCCTGAATGAACAGTGAGGGAAACTCCACAGCCTTTCCAGGCAATCTGAGTGCCAGTGCACAGTAAAAGGATTCCAGCCAGGCCCGCGTGATTGAAGTACAACAAGTAACTTAAGAGCAAGGAGCTGCGTTACCTCTCCGAACACCTGGCTTATTTCAGGCGAGGTGATGAAGTCCCCGCTCTCGCCGACGCCGCCGCGCCGCGTGTAGTAACCCTGGGGGGACAGGCACAGGGTGAGCGGCGAGCGGGGCCGAGGCACAGCCCCCCGGCCCGGCCCGGCCCCGCCGCACCTGCCCGGGGTTGGTGAGCGCCTCCCGCATGTACTCGGCCACCGTGACCGGCCCGCTGGCCCGCAGCTTGCGCGCCAGGTGCCGCAGCATGGCCCGCTCCCCGCCGGCCGCCTCCGCCTCGGCCCCCGCGCCCGAGCACAGCCGCGCCGCCGCCGGAGCTGCGGGGAGAGCAGGGGAGAGGGGCTCAGCGGGGCGGCCCCGAGAGGAGCGCGGAGGAGAGCGGGAGGAGAGGCGGCGCTCACCGCGGGCAGCGGCACCGGGACGGGGGAGCCGCCGGCGGCCTGCCAGGAGCGCGTGGCGCGCCAGCGGCAGCACCATGGCAGCGGCTCCTGATGCGGATCCCGCTCCTCCTCCTCGGTCTTCTTCCTCTTCTTCTGCTTCTTCCTCCTCCTCCTCCTCCCCTCCGCCCGGTCCGGCCGCCCCCGGGAGCCGCGGCTCGGGCCGGACGCGCGTCACGGGGCTGCGCGCGGCGCTTCCGGCGGCGGCGATGGCGGCCGCGCTCTGGGACTTCGGCGTGGGGCACCGGAGGAAGGCGGGTGGCGACAGCGGCGAGGAAGAGGGCGACGACGATGGGGATGAAGAAGCAGAAGGCGGAGATGAGGGAGAGTTCACGCTGGAGGAGGTGCTGCGCCTCGGCGGCACCAAGGTGAGGGAGCGGCGGGAGGAGCACGTGGCGGCCGGGACCCCAAACCCGGGATGCGGGACGCGAGGTGCGCGGGGGCCCACGCAGGAGCTGGGAACAAGTTCTTTGCTCAGGGGCTGGTGAGGCACTGGGACAGGCTGCCCAGAGAACTTGTGGGTGCCCCATCCCTGGGAGTGCCCAAAGCCAGGCTGCATGGCCCTGGTCTAGGGAAAGGTGTCCCTGCCCGTGTCAGGCGGGGTGGAACTAGATGGTCTTTAAGGTCCTTCCCAACCCAAATCATTCAGGGATTCTGTGGGGAAGCCGTGGGAGTCTTGGCAAACCTTGCAGCAGATCTGCCCGTGACAGCTGTGCCCTGTCTCCGCAGCAAGATTACCTCATGCTGTGTGCCGTGGACGAGGAGAGCGAGATGGTGGACGGGGGCAAGAAGGACACGATCGATGACCTGAAGGAGGGAGAGGTGGAGGCGTTCATCAGCTCCCTGGGGATCAACAAATATGCAAAGAGTTGCCTGGTGGTGGAGGGGGATGAGGATGATGGTGGCAGCAGGGAGAAGGAGAAACTTCCAAAGAAAGAGAAAAGCAAGAAGGAAACAAATAGTCCTTCAGTAGAGGGGAAAAAAGAAAAAAAAGGAAAGGAAAAGGCAAGCAGTCTGAAAGATAGCAAGAAGAAGAAGGCTGGTAGTGATCAGGGCCAGCAGTCTTCCGCTAAGAAGGAAAGGCTGGAAGAAGATTTTGAATTTCACGCTAGGCAAGCAATCCTGATCAAACCGGGGGGAAAGTGGTATGATCTAGAGTACACCAATGAATTCTCTACAGAGCCACAGAATCAGACACTTCTGTCCAAGTATAAGGCCCTGGCCCAAAAGCTGTATGAACACGAGAGAGACCTGTTTAAGAATAAGACAGACTATCAGAAGGGGGCCTCTTCTGCATGGATTAAAACTGTTGTGTCCTCGGGCACCTTGGCTGACAGGATGGCAGCAATGACCCTTCTCATCCAGGACAGTGCTGTCCACAGTCTCCAGTTTGTTGAGAACTTGATAAGTCTCGTAAAGAAGAAGGGCAGCAGGCAGCAGAGTCTTATGGCTTTGGATACTTTCAAGGAGCTCCTCATTACAGACATCCTACCAGACAATCGGAAGCTGTGGTCTTTCTCACAGCGACCGCTGAACAACATAGGGCAGATGTCGAGTGGCAACAAGGACTCAAGAGACAGGCGGCTGATACTCTGGTACTTTGAGCATCACCTGAAGCTGCAGATAGCAGAGTTCGTGCAGGCCTTGGAAACGCTGAGCCACGATTGTCTGACAGCCACGAAATCCCGAGCGCTGGCAGTTTCCCACGAGCTGCTCTGCAACAAGCCCGAGCAGGAGAAAGCTCTGCTGGTTCTGCTGGTGAATAAACTGGGTGACCCTCAGAACAAGATCGCCACCAAAGCCTCTTATCTTTTAGAGACCTTACTTCACAAGCATCCAAATATGAAGGGAGTAGTGTGCAGTGAGGTGGAGAGGCTTCTGTACCGCTCAAACATCAACGTGAAAACTCAATATTATGCTATCTGCTTTCTAAACCAGATAGTTCTTAGTCACGAAGAAAGTGCACTGGCTAACAAGCTGATAACTTTGTACTTCTGCTTTTTCCGGAACTGTATAAAGAAAAAAGATGTTGAATCCAAAATGCTCAGTGCACTTCTTTGTGGGGTGAACAGAGCTTACCCTTATGCTGAGACTGGTGATGAGAAAGTGAAAGAGCAAATGAACACCTTGTTCAAAGTTCTGCATCTTGTGAACTTCAGTACCAGTGTCCAGGCCCTGATGCTGCTGTTCCAAGTGATGGACTCTCAGCAGACTGTTTCGGACAGGTACTATACAGCACTGTACAAGTAAGTGGCAGGTTTGCATTTTTATATAAATTTCATTTTAAGAAGTAGTCACCATTAATTTAAAGTTGTAGAAACACTTTGCTTTTAAGATCATGGTAGTTTTGTGTTTTGTTGTCTGAAATTCCTGATGTTTTTTAGGATCTGGAAGAAAATGCATGTGATTTCTTTGATTTAACATGAGGATAAAAACAAAAGATAGGGATAGGTCCTGAGAACACGTGTATTTCATCCTTTGCCACTCTTCTGGTGGCTTTACTTTCAGATATTATTTGAAATTAATTGATAACTATTCCTTCTGAAATCGCTTTTACAGGTACTAGCCTGTAAAGTAATTAGACCTGTAAATTAGGATGTGCATTTCATCCTTTGCCACTCTCTTGGTGGCTTGCTTTACTTCCAGATGTTATTAGAAACTAATTGATAACTATTCCTTCTGAAATCACTTTTACAGGTACTAGCCTGTAAAGTAATTAGGCCTGTAAATTAGGCCTGTAAATAGCCTAAAATATTATTTTGGGGTTTTTTTATCCTTATTTTGAGGAGGAGGAATATTATCTTAAATTTTACAGATTATTTAATTTGTGTATCTAGAAAGCCTTGTGTTATAAAAATACTGCTTTTTTTCTTGTCCTAGCTGATTGTTTAGACTCTTTATAGGATCCTTACAGGCTTCTATTAGATGACCAAGGGGAGGTTACTAATTTTTTAAAAAGGGAATTCCGGTTCCCTGAGAATGTGCAGTGTATTTAAGGGCCTTACTGTGAATGGCAGCCTGGAAAAAAATTTGAGCTGTAAATGAACTTGCCAGTACAAATCTCTAATCTGATTGTGAAGTGTGCTGATTTTTAACCATTTGCTTTCTTTTTTTAAACAAGTAAACACATCAGATTAGTTTCTTAACACTGAGTATCTCAAATTTTGAAACCGTTTTCAGTTGAACTCAGTTTCTTTTTATTTCCTTGCAATATTTTGTTTAGCAAGGCAGTTTGTTTTTTTTAAAAATCTTCAGTGTCTCATATATATCCAGAAATATTACACAGCTCTTGACAGTTCAGGACTGATCTTAATCTTGCAATATTTTGTTTAGGAAGGCAGTTTGTTTTTTTTTTTAAATCTTCAGTGTCTCATATATATCCAGAAATATTACACAGCTCTTGACAGTTCAGGACTGATCTTAATGGTTTGAGTACTGAGGAGCAAGCTGTCACTAGTTTTTTAGATGGCACTGTGAAAAATGTAGGTAATAGTTGTTAATAGCAGTTGTTCTCCTGTGTGCATTGTGACATTCAGCAAAATTTCTCCTGTGTGTCCTACAGGAAGCTTCTAGATCCTGCTTTAGCAACGTGCTCAAAGCCATCCATGTTTCTAAATCTTGTCTATAAGTCTCTGAAGGCAGATGTTGTGCTGCGGCGAGTGAAGGCCTTTGTGAAGAGGCTGCTTCAAGTCACTTGTGGACAAATGCCACCCTTCATTTGTGGAACCCTGTACCTTCTGTCTGAGCTTCTGAAAGTAAAACCAGAGTTAAGGGTCCAGTTACAGGATCACATGGTATAAGATGGTTTCTTTATCTCATTGCTTTTTCAATAAGAGCTGTTTTCATAAGCATCTTTTCCTAACCTGTTTTTTAGTAACCATTTGCTAAGATGTTTCTTAGATGGGGAGGGACCATTATTGTTGTGTGTTCTAAGCAGTAAAGTTCAATTTTAAGTGCTATATCAAGGACAAAAATCTGTATTTCTTAAACATCAACCATCATTTGTTTAATTTTTTTAAAGTAGCTCAAGAATTTTATGTGTGTTTTTCTAAAAAAATCAGAATAAATATGGAAAGAAAAAGTTGTTTGCTAATGTTTTCTGGTTTTTAGGGGTCAGATGATGAAGAGTGCTTTAAGGATCATGAGGACGCTGAAGATGATGAGGAAAAATTTGTGGATGCTGACAAAGAAGAAGAAGATGAAAAGAGAAGTACTGTGGAAAGTTCTGCTAAAACAAACAATTCAAACTCATCAGCCTCATGGGTGCATCATCGGAATATGGGAGGTAAATCAGCAAGAAAATACATACTTTAACAGCTAAGAGTCCATAACAGGGACATGTTGGTCAAGAGTTGTTGTAAGATTAAGTGATTAAAACATTATTTTAGTTTTTAAATTGAAGTTTGGTTGAAAGCAACCAGTCAGAGCAATTTATCTGTTACCTCAGCAGTAATGAAAAGACTCTTTGACTGCTGTATTTCACTGTGGAGGGCAGCTGAATACAGCCTTTTCCTGGCCTGTCCAGCTGGGAGTGATGGGCAGCATTACTGTTGTGGGGAAATGAGGATAATACTCTTGTAAAGTTGCCTGAGAAAATTTGTTTTGCTCCCCTCCACCCCACAGGCAGGAAGAGTGAAGCTTCCTATGATCCTATGCACCGAAGTCCTTTATACTGTGGTGCTGAAAATACAAGCCTTTGGGAACTGAAGAAGGTGGGACATTCTTGAATTGTCGTTGTTGAGTTGAAAAGTGTGGCCCTTATATGAAGAGAGAAAAAAGAACTTGGTTATTCTTGAAGTAGCTGCTTGAGTAACAGCAGAAAGGTTAAAGCTGACACTTTGTTCAGTTCTAAGCTTGTATATGTTCCATACAATACTGATGTTCTTGAGTAGGGAATAGGAATCTTTAGAGTGGAGATTTGGACAATAATTATATTTTTTGACTATTGGATCTTAGCTTTGATCATTAAAGCTTTTCAGTGTTGACTTAAATAAAATTGTAAGTGAAAATGTTTTTAATGCAAATAAAAGATTAGAAGTTGAAGTTCTTCAGTTGTTAAACTGCTTCATCAGCCTTGCATTACTATGTGTATGTCTGTTA